TTTTAAACACACTTACAGTAATCTTAACTTGATTTTTTTAAGGTGATGATGACTTTCTGAGTGCTGCTTACGCCTCGCCCTCACTTTCCTCCCCGCTGCAACCAGACAGCTTCTGTCACATCGACAGTAACATGTCCCTGACCGAAGCCTCGTCCTCCGTAGCCTCGCTGGACATCAAGACTCCCGTCTGGTCACCTGAGCGACGCTCCTCTCTCATGATCAGTTCACCGGATAAAAGACCATCGCTCCCCGGAGAGTCCAGCCACACGCTGTACTTCAGCGCGGATGCTCAGTCCCCCTCCAGTGGGAGCTATCTTGGCTGGGGCTCTGAATTATCGCCCATCTCCACTTACAGGAGTCCTTACCGGATCAGGGAGGCTCGTTTCATCCCTTCCACCCCACGTCTGGAGGCTCGAATCAGGGCTGAAAGTCCAGGTCCGTCCTCTGTGGTTATCACCCCTGCCACTCCTGGTACTACACCGGGCCCGACCCCAGGAGGGACCCCTGGAACATCGACCCCTACCGCTTCAACTCCCGGTACTACAACACCCGCTGCTTCAACCCCTGGTACTGCCACACCTGTAGCTTCCACTCCTGGTGCTTTGACTCCTGTTGCGACCACACCCGGTGCTCAAGTCGTTCCCCTCACTCCGGTCCTCGCCCACGCTCGCAAACAGGTGGTGCAGGTGGTGGACAGCAGAGAGAGGTTGGTGTAAGGAGGATGGGGGGTGAAGGGGAGGATGTGGGCAGTGATGTCTTTTTTTTGTTAAGCAGTTATGATATACATAAATTCATGTATCTTGGCTATCTATCTAGGGGGAGTTCAAGGAATACTTCAACCCCCAAAATTAACATTTGTATAACAATTACTCAGCAGCGTATGGTACCCCAAATTCTTGAAGTGTCAAAACACTTAATTTAAGTTAACGGGGGTTGCATTTAACAACAGCAAAACTCTATCAAAACATCCAATACAATTAAAGTCTCGTTTATCAAGTCAGAAACGTATTACTTCCCTAACACATGCAATTTTGCTAAACCTTAATTTTCGTCCAGGAACGCTTCTTGGCCATGCTAGTCCGAAGAGTTTATAGGGAAGTTTTAAATGAAAAGGTATGAAAGTGCAGAAGCATTTCTTCAATAATTCAAGCTAACACAGGGGGACTTACAGGATACAAGGGTTACATATACAGAAAATGAGCGTGCATTGGTATCACACTTGCCAACCACAGGAAATTATCTAAATTCTCAATAATAGTACCTCTGGCTTTCCTGTACGTATAACGGTCTTTAAAAAGGGAAGCGATGCATTAGGACTGTGTTGCTGCACATTACTGCTAAATGGTTGGTGTGCCTGCAGGAAGGAGGGTGATGTAGGAAACTCTTTACAAGCTACTGTGAAAAGGCTAAAAGGGAAGCATCTGGTGAATTAAAATGTATGAGGCGAGGCACGTGGTCGTCTGGTTCCTGGCGAGGCAATCACAAGCCATTCTAAATATTCAGTCCTATAAAACCATTAATACAAAAAGATGGTACGCACTACAGATCATTATTAACAGAAGATTGAATGTCGTTACTCATCAAGAGAACACACAGATTCAAAGGTGCTAATGAATGTGGGGCATGCTTTCATTGAGATTATATAAACCCTTCCGATTTTTGGGGAAAATAACCATAACGAACCGCAGGCAGAGTAGACAGCTGAGATTTGCTTTTTTGTTTTACTTATCATAAACATTACGAGCATATTAAATGATGAGCTGTGAGGAAATCAAATAACATGATAAAGTCAGAGACTTTTTGAATTAACCAGGTACTTTAAAATAGTTTACAAACACCAACATGCTGAATCTCTTCTAACTCTTCTCGCAAATTAATCTTTCTTTTTTTATTCTAATATAATCAAACTAATAATCTGCAAAGAAATATCAAAATACTGCAAACCTAAAGCTTTTACGATGATGTTGAACATCCCGTCCAGTATTCAGGAAGCCACTCATTCATGTCACAAGTTATTTCCTGTGTCCACTACAGTACAGTACAGTACAGTACAGTACAGTACATAACACACAGTAGTGACACAAACTCTTATTGCTATCTGTTAAACAGTTAAACATCTATTCACTGATGTAAACATATTTTATCCAATAAATGCTCGATTCTTTCTTTGCTAATTTGAATTGCAAACATTTCAGCTGGCACTTTACAGCAGAAGGGTGCAGCTAGAGTATCATGATGTGTGTAGACTACACTTTATAACATTAGAATATGTAAAAGAGAAATTGTAGTAGAATATAAATATATTGAATGGATATCAGATCCCATTTTATTACATGCCTTTCTATCTGCATCATTTCTTTTTTAAGTTAATGATGGCTTGTTTTGATCTATTTTACAAACAAATATTTTGTTTGGTATTACATTTTACTGAGTAATTCTTCTCATAGCATTCAGAATTATTTTTGAAAAGTGCAACTTTTAAAATGTTGCTGAACAAGAAATAACTTACTCAAATGTACACAATACAGAGGAGAAACCTATTTTAACAAAGTTTAAATATAGTATGTATATATATAACTCTAAATGTATCTCATATTCTCTTCTAAAGCCCACTTTACTCACTAATAGGTTTGTCCTATTTTTTAGTTGAACCTCCTATCTTAGTAAAACTGAATTGTGACAAACAGATTCATTTGTTTATGTTGCAATGAGAAAATGCAATTTCTTACTGAAAACTTTGGGTGAACATTTAGATAAAGAAAGAAACAGGGAACATGGTAAGGGGCAGAGGTCTTTAATATAACTATTGCAGAAAGGGAACACCCTGGGTAAAGTGCTGCTATGAATGTCAAGCTTGATCGATGCAAGTATTATGTAATGTTATGAATATTATTAATTTGAATATGTGAAAGCTGATTGTAGTCATACAAAGAACAATATCAGTCTTCCATGTATATTTGTCTTCCGTTTTTATTTACCTATGCTGTATTATTTTACTTTCTTTGTTTATTTCTAAACACATAATAACTATAACGTAAGTTCTATATCTGACAATGAGCAGTTTGGTAATGAAACATTTTGGGAATATAATTTGTGGTTTATGGAACAATGTACAGAGAAGAACATCCTGAAACTGTAAAACTGTTATCCATATACCTGCTGATTGACAACAGAGTCACTGCATGTTACTCCTTCATCCAAAGAATGATATCTATTTCTTTAGAGAAAGAAAGCACTAGCTGTAACTTCATACACACACACACACCCACTTCATAATAGTTAACACACATGCTAGAATGTATGCGTTCACAAGAGGAATAAGCTAGCTAATGAAATGTATCTTCATGCACTAAAAAAAAGAATCTACGCACACGCTTCAGAGTGCAGCGATGCCTTGGCTTGATCGTCCTGACTCAGCGCTTTGTCTTGTAGACACTCAGTCGCTTGTTAATAAAGTGTGTATTGCTTTATATAATACCAATATGCTTTGCTCTGTGTACCTGGTGTGTATGATCATCTTTGCTTGTCTTTCTACTTTGTTTTATTTTGTATTCTTTTTAAATTCCCTTCTTTTATATTGATCACATGTACTGTTATGAAATGTGTGGAGAGCCACGGTGCGGTGTGTCAAGGTTTCACATGTGAAATTGTTTTAGAGAAAAGAGACATTGTTTTCAATTCCTCTACAAGGATCTCCACAGTACTATTATTATTGTGTTGCACTGTTGGAGAAGCCTGACCTAAGATTTTCATCGACATAACTACTCTGTAGCTATGTTTGTATGACAAATAAAGAACCTTGAGTACTGTGGCTGCTGGTAGTGTGTCATTAACTGTGCTATTGATGTGGCAAAATAAAGTCATTAGTCATGATCAAAGAGGGCTGTTTTGTGTTTTATTGATGGTCCTTGATTCATTTACAATTATTGATGTTTCATGTATGTGTTTGTGCTTACACAGATAGGTGGAAATGCATAATCCAAGTGTAAAGTATACAGTGATAATAGTTTTCTTTGACCATTTTGGCATAAGATGAGCTTCAATAATGAAGGTGTTGTTGGACCAAGAATCAGGTAATGAAGCAGAAATCACCCAACCAGGCTGTAAATATTTGAGTTGATATCGTGCTTTGAATAATTAAGTCCAATACAACTTTATATATTCTTGCATGACCTTTTTTAAGCAGCAGCTCATCACACTGGTCAACAAAAGCACCCCACCCCCAAAAAAGATCTGTTTATTTGCCACTTGATTAAAGTTGGTGTGCTGCGCTTATTATATTTTTCTCATCTCATCATTTTTAAAGTCAGATGATAGACTCTTAAAAGGAAGAGAAAGTGGCCTGGGGATCAGCATGTTTTCTGTGGTAAGTGATTCACAGCATGAAACAGCTCAAACGCCCCAAAATAAAAAAAATGGACAAATACAGACAAAAACAATATGATATTATATTCTCACTTTACCTATAATAAACGTTTTTTTATTAAGGTTTCATTATAGCTCTTTTATCGTAAAATTTCTACCAAATGAACTAAGGTGTGCTACAATAAAACGTGAATTTGTTGCATGTGTTTAAATTGTGTGTTAATGGGTAAATATGTATATTTTTTATTATACTCTATTATACCTTACCTTATAGCCTACCTTTTAAAGTCGAATCAGATTCACATTTCATTAATAATAATGATAATCCTAACATTATTAATTATTCTTCTACCATTACCACTACTACTAAAATAATAAAATAGGGTGTGGTTCAGCACCACCTAGCGTTTAGACTGAAGTAGTGTAGCTTTACTCCATAACGCTCTTTTATCATTAATGGTTTACCAGTTAAATCCAGATTCAGATCATTTGTCTGGAAATGTGTCTGTGAATGAAACATTTCTGATGATCTTACAAACCAAGAAACCCACATATTGGAACAAAAAACGAGAGTGAGCTTTTCAACGCGGGTCACATGAGCTGCATTCATGTGACCGGATCACGTGATACCAGCCAGAGTAAATAAAACAGGAGGACCATCTCATAAATGAATCACAGTTTGTTAACCTGAGACAACTAGAGACAAGAAGGGGAACCTGAAGCTGAAGATTTAAAGTTCACACAGCTGACACACGAGCTACAGGTAAATTATTTATTTTCTTGTCCCTTTGTCCTCCACTTTTTACCATTTCCGGTTCTCAGTTAGATACAGTTTGTTTACACGGTGAGTAAGCAATTTGCTAACATAGCTAAATGTGTTACACTTTGATTAAACTAGTAAAAAACACATATTACTAAATCTCCAGCTAATATTGTTGGACTGACTAGTTTCATACAAAAATCCGTTTGAATCCAGTTTGTTGTCATATCTTCATGTTGGTTGTTGTGTTGACTGCCTGTCTCATGTTCAGAGAGGTGATAAGATACACATGTGAAAGCAGGGCGGCTAACACACATCTATTCATGATTAAAGGACACATGGTCGGGGAATATGGTATAGGCAGCACATGCAAATAAATAAAGGCAATAACCTAAAACCTGATGTTAAAATGTATATGAAACCTAATACTAAACTGGTGTCACATCAATGAAGTGGAAATCGAAACTATGTTTTGTAAGGGCTGGAGGCAGCCATTCTGTCCTCTGCTTCTACTAGACAAACAAGATAAGCTGAGACTTGTTTTACAGATGTATTAACATGTCGGAGAAAGGGGGGGCATACTTTTATGGAACTGGAATAGATTGTCCTTTTTTAAATATGGGCTCGATTAAAACCATCTCTTCTTTACAAAATAAATTGGAGGGAGGAGATGAAAAAGTGGTACATTTGCAATCGCAAGCAAAATTGTCATTGACTTTATCTATTGAGTTAATCAAGTATTGGATTCCCTTCCTGTTAGCAGGTCCTCAGGACTGTGACAAGGAATAATGGATTTGTTTAATCTGTTAGCAGAACAATGGAAAAATACAACTAGATTTATAGCAAAGTGTTACAGATGTATCAAACTGTGGGTTAACTAGATGATCTGTATGTGCAGGTAAGATGAGTGGTGTGTATGTGTTACTTTTTATGTTCAAGAAATTATGCACTTTTATAGTAATCTGGCTCTAATTCCAGCTATTTTGCAGGGGAAAAAAGAATAATTGTATATTGCAAAAAGTAACATAGAATATTGCTTGGTCCCACATACAGTAACTGAGTACCTCTAATTTTGACACTTGAGTTTGGAGTCTTTCTCTTCAGAGGTACCAATAGTGATCAGAATTTTTCTATGAAAGAAGACTCAACCCTGAGTGTTGTAGAACTCGTCATGTGAGGATCATTGGTTCCACGTATAAAGGTCGGAGGTGGAGAGGAAATCAAATTCATTTTCTCGGTGGCTCTGACTCACCCATTTCTGCCTGTATCACTTAAATCTACCACATAGAGGAAAATGCACAACCCCTCACCTTTTTAGAAGGCTGTTTGTTACTCATCAAGCTCAAAGCGGGGCTGCCAAAAATGTTGAGATGCAAGCAATGTGTCCTTGCAGTCTTGATTTATGTAGCTTTTGTGAGTTGTGCTATGACAACTGTTGAAAGTCATGAGACTGATTCTGACAGATCAGAAAGCTGAAGGTTCACTTCCCCAAAAAAGTCATCCAAAGCATATTTTTATCTGCACAGCAGTTATGTTTGTGTGATTTAACCACTTCTCTAAAAACTAAACATGTCCTGTCAACTGAATTTCTGTTGTGACCCAAAGCGTTCAATAATTTGAACATTGTAAATCGCTTTACAGATCATCAATATAGTTCAAAGCTTTAGAAAAAATGTATGACTCTGAAGTCCCCACAACCAATCTGTACCTACAATCTAGTGTAATGAACTTCTACTGATCAGAAAACGACTGTCCATTTGTGTTGAATTCCATAATCAGATGAAGAGTAGCTTGTGGTATTAAAGAAAGCTGAACACAGAAGCCTTGTTTAGATTATAGAGAAAGAAAAACAAGTGGTTTAAGACTTCACTCTGTAAAGAGGGTTATACAGTCTTAATTTCCCCCTGTGTACTTTTTGCTGTATATATTTCATTGGCCTCAGTCATGTGTCATTAAACCAGTTTCTCTGAGATTCATATTTCCTCTGTTTCTCTTCTTCTTTCTCTGTAATAAACAAACAGGACATTCTTAAACAGGTGCGCTGGTGACCGAGACAGACTTGTGTTTGCCAGGGCAAATCTGAGTTTGGCATGAGACTGATTTCAAATGCAGTGATTGGTAATCTTACCTGGAACAAAATAGGGTGATACAGAAACATTATCTCAATGCTTTTTTTTTTCGCTTCTCAACGTCATTTGTTCTTCGCTAGTACTGTTTGGCTCACCTCATCTGTTCATTAAGAGTTTGAGGCTGTATGTTAAGCCACTCCCTATATGCACTGGTATTGATTCTTAGCACACTCCATGCCTCATATTTAATAGCCTGCATTATGTTTTCTAATGGATCCATGTCTGGAGCCGATCTCATCTCTCACCAGTGCACTTCACCTCTCCTGGTGACGTGGACCATTACCAGCATGCTTTTACCTCAAATCTAAAAGACTGCATACATTAGCATTCACAAGGTGTTTTTTCTGCAGAATTAGGATGTGTTGTTCTCAGGGTTTTTTAAGGGGGAAGCGAAACCCTGTCCGTCTAGTGTTGAATCTAAGGTATTGGTTAAATTTACAGAACTATATTGTAGATGCCTGCTGATGCAGCGTTTTTAACCACTGGAAAGATGAGTCAAGCATGACTGAAAGTAAGAGGTTTTCTCTGTGTACACTGTGTGTGCATGTTCCACTTGTAGCTGCAACCAGAGTGACGAAGTCTATCCAGCTGTGGGAAAATGTTTCTCTTTTTCTAGTCAGAAGTTTCAGGAGTCTACGTGAGTGTGTTCAAGCATATCATTGGATTGTATTGATTTACAATCGACACAGAATTTCTCCACATAGTTTTTATAAACGGCTCCCTTTATCTTACTGATATAGCCTCTGACCTCTTACCCTTTTCTTATCGTTTTCTCAGTAAAATGTTCTGATTCACTTGGGGCTAGATAGGCTCCTGCATGTTTGTTCTTCTAGCTTTCTTTGTAAGACATTGTTATCCCTTAAGCCTACAGCCTTTACTGTGATCGGTTCAGAGAAAAAAAACAAAATGGATTTTTTTTGGAGAGAGAGACCACAAATTATGTATACTATATAGGACAGTAAACCTAAAATATCGTTTAAAGTTGGAGAGATATAAATAAATGTTAACTAGCTAAGATATGAATGAACAACAGAAATAAAATAAGTTAGATTTATTGGCTATAGTAGGTTATTTGTTATGTTCATATACTTATTTGATTATTAAAATGTAAACCGATCTTTTTCATATTGGTGTTTTTTAGAGTTGTACCCCCTAGATCAGGGGCCTCATTTATAAAGGGATATACGCTCAAAAAATGGCGTACACCAGTTTCTACGCAATGTTTGCGATTTATAAAATACTAACTTGACGGGAAAACGTGCGGTCCTCCACGCAAACTCTAACCCATGCGTACACACTAAGCACAAAAACGGGAGAGACGAGAAACTACGACACTGTTAGCAGAAGGAAGAATGGAGAGAAATATGTGGAAATAATACCATAAATAAAATGTTACCTCATTTATCATATATGAAGAATTCATTTTTCAAACATTGATCAAAGCCAATCTTAAAATGATTTAACAAATGCCTGTTTGCGAGTGCACACAAAAACATAACTGGGAGAAATAAATAAACACGGATATGTTATTTAAAACCACCTCGAATATTTTGTGTTAATGTTATGAAATGTTTTCTCATAAATGATGCGGTAAGCAGGAGGACAGAATTACGTCTAAACTGACGCCGTTTTGCATTTCTATAGGTTGTAGATACGAGCATGGTTTTATATATGTTTAATACATGTTTAATCGTGTTTTATACCGTTTGCCAAGACTTGATAAGTCGCTCGTAAAACACAGGAGGTATGGAAACTAAGAGCACCATATGTGGTAAATTGTACAGCTAATGTAACACAACACATTAGTTGTATTTCCTTTATAGAGTTGCTGCAGTGGAGACGCTGCGCACAGCTGATCGACAGCTGGGACGCAAACCACCAAATACAAAAACATAATTCAGATCCAGTCGTCATGACTCCACTCCGGAGGGATTGCCCGATCATTTCTTACAGTTTCACATCAAGGGCGGGTCTCCTGTCCCCGGTACAAACACACTGCCTGAGGAAGGCTATGTGTATTTTTGTTGTCATTAACCTTTTTCGGACCACTTATCTATTTATTTTGGTGACGATCCGACCTCCATGCTGCTACTCTGGTTCAAACTGCATCCACCAAACAATATGATTTATCTCGACCTCCCCAAAATAACCAAAATCTGACACGGTCTGAGATTTTTTTTTTAGCTATCGTCATTTCCTGCTATCTTCTCCATAAAGTCAGTCAAAATGAATGAGATGAAAGGGCGTTTCTTTGACTATTTATAGGCAAACATGGGCGTTACGTGAAGCCCGCAAAAGCTGCACCGCATTTCGAGTCGGTTGTGATTTATAAAGGGAAACAGGTGTAGGAAGTGCCATATGCACTTTCCTCGCCGGTACACAATGTTTGGTGAATCGGAAAGTGGCGGAACATTTATGGACCTATTTTTCGGATTTCTACTACGTAAGCAACCTTCCCACGTCAATCCTACAAACGGCGTTATACATGAGGCCCCAGGAAACTCCTGGCGTATCTGGCGGACAACACACACACACAGGATGACCAATCTGATGCCTCGTCCTAAAAAGCCCCGGCAGCAGTTTACAAAGCTGCGATAGGCAAGATGTTGAAAACGCCTATAAGGGGAGGAATGGATGATATACAGTATTTATATGTATATTTACACATGTTCATTTTTTTACATTTCTAAAAATAAAGTTTGATGGAAATACTTAGTAGCCTTTCTTCCCTGAATTATTTGCTCCTATAACATATCATTCATATATAGCAAACCATGATTTGATGATTGATTTTTCATCAAACAGTAGTAGTTTATTACAGGTAAAAAATAACTTACTCTTCTATAACAACAGTTGTAGGTACAGTTCGGTTAGTTAGCGTATAACATATACGCAGTGGGGGCCGGCCCATAGGGGCGCTAGGGGCTCCGCCCCCCCTCTTCCCACATGTTTGATTGTCTTTCAAAATTAAAAATAAATAAAAAAATATATTTCCAAAAAATATTTTTATTTTATTTTTATTTTTATTTTTAAAGAACAAGGTAAATATTATCTAGTTGGTATCAGTAACATTTATAATCTACAATAAAATCTCGTTTAAAATTGTTTTACGATGTCAAAAGTTACTGATAAGTCACATGTTTCCTGGCTGGCCGCAGCGTGTATCATTACCCTCTCTCGTCCGGGCGGTAGAAAGGAGCCCTCAGCCAGAGCAGCAGCAGCCAACAAGCTGACTGTTGCTATCTGTAAAATATGCCGCCGAAACATAATTTCAGCCAATCAGCGTCATCAGATCTGATGCTCAAAGGGCGCCCTGTCAGCGCCCTGGCCTGTGTGTCTGTGAGTTGTTTGGACTCGTATCCAAGGTGACGCTACAGTAGTTGTCTGCAGGTGTAGACTCCGGTGCTAGTGGATCGCCGGAGCTGTAGATGAACATTTACATGCTTATTGTAGTTGTAAGGGCAATGCCTGTGGCACCATGGAGCATATGTGTGGGCTGGACCTGTATTTTACAGGAAAGGAGTGATCAGAGGGTGGAGTTGTCGATTCTTGTTCAGTTTTCATCTTCCTCACCCTCTCAGAATTTGAGTTGCGCGTGCTGCTAAAGAGACGCGCTACCATGGAAACCAAACAATGGTGTAGCTGTATTAAAGTCCGAGTGGAAACAGACGTGAGTAAATCAGATTTTGTCAGAAGAAGGGACGCGCGGGTCGTTGGTTGGGAGTTTAATGACAACGGGCCTGTAGTGTGCCGGTTTTGATGCAAAAGACAGCCGGAATGAAGGAGACCGCAGAGGAAGAACGAGGCACGAAGGAAGAGTGATGTGATTTACACCAAGCAAAATGATGGTACTTAAGTAGATATCTAAGATTTCAATTAGACGTTAAATTATTGTATTGTAAAGGCCCCTTTTATGACGAAAACTGCATTCATTTGATAGACCCCTTGCAAACTCCACGATAAGGAAGACGAAAGCAAAGGAGTGCAAATAGTAAAGTGGGGAGCGTCGGAACCATTTAGACGTTTAAGTCGCCTAAATGTATCCGGATCATTGGGCGGATTAGGAACGCGGAATGAGTTAAACGCGTATCTCACCGCTCAGGGGGGAATGCCCCCTGAATTAAAGGCCTTTGTAGGTAGCATACTGTCAGGTTCCTGTCTCTTGCGGATAGAAAGCTGAGGGCAACTTAACACGGTGCTTGAAGTGGAGACTACAACAGTTGAGAATTGTTCGTTAGAAAATGCAGAAAGATTGACAGCGAGCAGGGTATGATGCTCGCCGCCAGCCCCCGTGAGCGGGGGCCGTATTAGAAGAACGCTTTAGCGGGGAGTATTTTAAAGTGAGCTGAAGGACCAGCGACGAATGTCCGCCGCGCCGCGCGGCCCCCCCTGCGGAACGGCGTATGTTATTGCTTTAGTAGTGTAAGTCACACCATCGATATCTTTAAGGACACGTTGCATTGTCATCCGGGTTTGTTTGCGTCTGTGACCAGCTGTTGTTTGTCCTTTGTTGTTTATTAAAGTTGTGATGGTAAATTTTAGTCCTTCTGCTTTATTGCTTGTTAACGCTTCACACACACACGATGTCATCTACGTGCACATCTACACACGCTCATCACACAGTATGAACGGGTTTGGGGGCGCTAATAAGCGTCCTTGTCTGTGAGGGGGCTAAGAGACTGTTTTATGTGTAAGCTCCGTACATGGTACAGTAGTTTCATGGTGCGGGTTAAGTCGTTTTATAAATTCCGGTAAGTTGGTTATTTGTCTCTCAACTTCTTTTGAGCGTATGGGGGTTAGGTATCAGTACGTCCCCTGATTGTTACAAAAAATAAGAACTGTCTCCGAATACGTGTTGGACTCATTGTTACAAAGTAGACGCGATTTTAAATCGTAAATTGTAGACCCAGCTATTTAGCACGCCTGATGAGGATTTACGGGTGATTCTTCCCGATCAGCCCGACTCATAACAGCCGAGTTGATCTCTTCTCATAGCGGCGAGCCCCTCGTCTGGTGATCGTTTTTTCTCATTGTATAAAATGCACCTAAATTAACATTATGTGCATGTCTCGTTTACACCTAGTCGAGACTTCATTGATTGTTGATCTATGGCCACATCCTTTGTATCTTAATTACAGACGTTCAGACGTCTGGTCTTCCGTCCGCTTTGGAAAATTTTCACGTACAACGTATTACTCGTCTGGTTATGAGTGCAGTATTACGAGGCTGGTAGAGTGGTCTTGATTGTTTGTTACCCACTATGTGTGTATTTAATTGGAACATTTCGCTCTGTGGAATGGTCCACGTTTGTTTTCAGGTCGTGTCATTTCCACATTCGAATACTGATCAATGATCTTGTCTATAGTTCTCTGATCACTGCTGTGTCACGATTGCCGACACCTCACAACACACACCCCGCGGTCACTTGTACCTGCACGCCGACGCGCATGTACGCACATGATAATCTATGATCGGTTGTCAAGGATTTGGCTACACGCGTCTGTTTGGAGGTAAACGCCCTGTGANACACGGTGTGAGATGTCTTTTTTTAGCTGTTCTGTCGTCATTTCCTGCTATCTTCTTCATAAAGTCAGTCAAAATGAATGAATGAAGGGGCGTTTCTTTGACTATTTATAGGCAAATATGGGCGTTACATGAAGCCCGCAAAAGCTGCACCGCATTTCGAGTCGATTGTGATTTATCAAGGGAAACTGGCGTAGGAAGTGCTGTACGCACTTTCCTCGCTGGTACACAATGTTTGGTGAATCGCAAAATGTCGGAACATTTCTGTACCTATTTTTTGGATTTCTACTACGTAAGCAACCTTCCTACGCACGGCGTTATAAATGAGGCCCCAGGTCTCTAGTAATTGTGTGCTCAAAGTGCACCAGATTGAAGCATTTTTACTTTTCAAATGTTCAAAAAATCTCTTCCCGGGGGGGCATACCCCCGGACCACCCTAGAGGATGTGACGTCCACCCCCCAATTCACACATGTTCATACACAATACTGAATACATCTCAAGCCATTTTGACGTATATTACCTATATCCATAAGTTTCTGTTTTTGTAGTGTATTTTTCTTTAGTAGAGATTTTTCATTTATTCTTTATATATAAAATCTCGCCTAGGGCAGCAAATTCGCTAGAACCGGCACTGGTACTAGGCCTCAAGAGCCTTTCTTGTGCTGTCAGACACATAGAAACAAATTGGTGGGGCGCACTTTGCACGCACACACACTAAATAATTCCACGTGCTCACATTATGCTGGGCCCACCTGCCTTAGCACCGCTGCTATGGCTCCATCCTAGGGGAAACACTGAACACTACTCTTCACTTTGTATTTTTCAGGAACAATGTGGCATGCAGCCTTCCTGTTATTGGCTGCCAGCTTGTCTGTGAGCCTGGCTGCACCCCGCCTCCTTCCACTGTCCAGTGACATGGTCAACTACATCAACAAGATCAACACTACCTGGACGGTGAGTTTCTTCTTTCTTTTTTGTTGTTTTTATTTTCTTGAAAGCTGTTTTACCCGACTAAATCTCCTTCTTCTCCTGCAGGCTGGTCACAACTTCCATAGTGTCGACTACAGTCATGTAAAGAGACTCTGCGGTACGAGGCTGAATGGACCTAAACTGCCCATCATGTGAGTCTCATTAGTGAAACAACAACTTCAGATTTCATTATGCTCTATATCCATATGAGTATTTGCTGTGTTGTACATCCCTTACTTCTCCATAAATTGTGTACGTTACAAGCAGTATAGACCAACACTCCTACCCTATCTGCCCACCATAAAACTGTAGTTGTAGTACACAGTCATACCTGACTCTGTTTCCTCTGCAGGGTTCAGTACTCTGGAGACATAAAGCTGGCTAAGAGCTTTGACTCCAGAGTCCAGTGGCCCGACTGTCCCACCCTGAAGGAGATCAGAGACCAGGGCTCCTGCGGGTCCTGCTGGGTGAGGAAAAATATGTGACCACATTTAACTTGGGTTGAAGGCTAATATTTTTTGAAGGAAAAGATTATTCTAAAGGCATTTACTCATGATTGTGGCTGTTGTTTTGTCTGAGCGTCACACAAACACCTACAGTATAAAAGGCTTAATGTCAACAAACATGGATTGAAGCAGAATTCTTGAACAAAAACATGTTGAACATTTTAGAAATGATAACATCATTATATTTTGGACTTATTGGAAATGTTAAGCCCACACATGAGAAACAATTCTATGCATCTACCTATGTAGTCTGATTCTAGTATAGTATAATACTAGTATTATTAATGCAGCCTTATCTTTTCCTGCCTCTGTGCAGAAACATCAGGTTTAAATGGGATCAATAAAAATGCAAAAAAAATCTCCTCAGCATTTGATTTATTTTTATTTTATTATTAAAATGTCAACTTTGGGCAATCGGCAAATGACTCACTCGAGCCTTAAAATAACCACCAGATTGTTTTTGGCCTGTCTGTGACATTCCTTGCATCTTCCAGGCGTTTGGCGCGGCAGAGGCCATCTCCGACCGTGTGTGTATCCATAGCAACGCCAAGGTCAGCGTGGAGGTCTCCTCCGAGGATCTGCTGACCTGCTGCGAGAGCTGTGGCATGGGGTGAGGATCACTAACGTGTGAAAAGTTTATATGATTAAATGATTTGTTGTGACCTACTGAACTACTACCTATCGAACCTTAATTCAAATCTCAGTAGCAAACCATGTGGTCGGAAATTTGAATTACTGGGTATGTACTGGTAGAAGTGAATGAATCAATTCAAGATGGAAGGTGCATTTTATTTATAGGAATGCAGCGGTTCAATATGAAGACATGCCAACTACTCCCAAACTGACCTTATTAAGTGGATCAGGTATCTGCCATGACAGAACTGCTCTACAGGAAATACAGCAGCCCCAATGTTAGCTTACTGTACATAAAGATGATTCTAGTGACATCCACACACTGAGGTAAACATGTTTTGAAGTGAGGTTTTGACTCTTAGTATCAGCAGCTGCAGTACTGAGGTGAGATGTAGAAATCAGTCTGTTTTGCGTGAGGGGAAAGTTTGGAGGTTGCCTCCCTAATGTTTGAAGCAGCATAGTGGTTCATAATATCTATAAAAGTGGAACATTTAAATGTTAACATTATTTTTTATTTTATTTAGATGTAATGGTGGCTACCCTTCAGCTGCCTGGGACTTCTGGACCAAGGAGGGTCTGGTCTCTGGAGGTCTCTATGACTCCCACATTGGTGAGTTTTATGTGTGAAACTCCCACAGTGGTATGGTACAATTATTGTTTCAAATATTTTAGTGCATTCGTCAACTAATCGTCCATAACTAAGATTTCTTCAGTATATTGGTCATAAATGTTTTTTTTAATGCAGAATTTATTTCCAATAAGTTTTAAGCCATCTCTGGTGATCATAACGTTTAAAGGGGACCTATCATGCAAAATGCACTTTTTGATGTCTTTTATACATAAATGTGTGTCAGGGAACTCACAAAGTGTCAGAAAATAAAACCCTCTCTCTCTTCCTCCGTGCGCAAATCTCTAAAAACGGGAGCTGATCCAGATTTACGTCATATCGGATGGTGGACCCACGGCACTATCAGAAACGTTTCTGTATCAGAAACAATTCCCGACGTGTTTTGGCCGTAATAGTCTTTGTTTACATTAGCAAGCATCGCTAACACTCAAAACTAAGCTGTACTGGAGAGAGCATGTGTAAGAAGCAGGATATAAAAAGGAACTCACCTTGTGGTAAACCCGCGAGAGAGAAAGCCTTTGAGCTCAAACTGTTTCGGAAATAATCCTTGATCTAATAATCCTTGATCTAATAATCCTTGCGTTTCATCACCGCAGCATTTTAGACAGTATCTGCCAGGTCCATTGATGTATAATAAGAACCAGAATCAGAGTTTTGTTTGTGGAGAACCACCCTAGATTGTAAAAGGGTGATAAAATATGTCTTAATGTAATTTACAATTCCTCCCCTTCATTGAGGACTTGCATGTTTGNTTTTTCTCCCCAGGATAGTACTACCACCTCTCTAGCAGGCACTAAAAATGGGGGGTAAAAGTTCCCGGCACTAAGTACTCTTTTTGGTGTGAATAGGCGCGTTCACACCAAGTACTTTTCCCACGAAGGTTCCTGAGAACTCTTTAGTTCTCATGAACTAATTACAGATCGCGTTCACACCGGAAATTAGTTCCTGGGGGTGGATTAGGCAAATTAAGCCGCTGACGTCACTTCTTCTTCTTCTGCTTTGGGTTTACTGGCAGGCAGCAAACAACTTCACGGCGTATACTGCCGCCCAAAGTCCCCGGCCGGAAGTCCCCGGAGTTAGGGACTGGCTTCAGTAAAGCTGCTGGGACTCACAGCAGCTTCTACTGAAGCCTTCCGAGTAAACAGCCAGAACGCCGACACCTCCTCATCTCCACCGCTCTCATGTTTTATTTTGTGTTGTCATAAGTTAGTCTCTGTGTTTCTGCGCTGGGCTGATGCTAATGCTAATAATGCAATGCGAGGATAATAAAATTTTTGGGAGTTTGACGGGGCGTGGTTTGCATTCCGCCCAGCCAATCAGACACAGGAACCTTTTTCTCCCACGAAAGTCCCTGCTCTCTAGCAGGGACTGAAAAGGGGGTAAAAAAGGTTCTCTAGAACTAATTTAGTTCCTGGGACTTTTTGGTGTGAACGAAACTTAATCGTAGTTTTCAGGAACCTTTGTGGGAAAAGTACTTGGTGTGAACGCGCCTAATGCAAAATAAGGGGTAGGCCTACTAACGGAACTAAACGGGAAATGTACGGGGTAAAGTACTTCGGTGTGAACGCGCCTCTTGGTGTGAAAGCGGCTAATGATTCTAATAAGGGCTATAAAATAGTTCATACTGGTTAGTTAATTTAGTTTAAAAAAAATTATCTGCTGATTTACTCCCAGAATCAGCACTTTTGTAACCGGAAGTAAACTCCTTCCGGTTCCTTCGACAAAAAAGCAATGGAATTTCTCCATAGGATTTTGGAAAACAGCTCAAAATAAGGTCTGTGGTTGACACACATTTAAGAGACGGATCACGTTTTGTTCAGCCGGATAATATCCACATGTCTACCTTAATTTTGTAATTTTCTAATCATAAATCTAGTCGCCAGAAGCAAAATGCTAACGTTATGCTATAAACGAACTACAGCAGGGTCGCTGCTTCAACGTCAAGCCAACTTTTCATGAGCACGAAAAACTAACCCGTTATCCCGACTTTTTTTTTCATGTACCTTTTTAAGGGCTCCGTAATTAATCAACCTTTGACTGCAAAAAAATTGTGTTAGGCGAATCAGAGTTTTGTTTGTGGAGAACCAGCCTAGATTGTAAAAGGGTGATAAAATATGTCGTCTTGTAATTTACAATTCCTCCTTTTCATTGAGGAGTTGCATGTTTGCTCGATTGTGTTTTTGTTTGGAATATTGCTTAAGTGCGCCCTCTGCTGTTTCAGTGAATACAATAAAACAGTCTGCTGGGCATTAAAACGACTTCAAAGATAGCACGCCATCTTTGGAAGGCCAACTTCTCATGAGATTTTAAACAAAACTTTACTCTTTATGGCTACAGGTTGTCGGCCCTACACCATCCCCCCCTGTGAACACCATGTGAACGGCAGCAGACCCTCCTGCTCTGGGGAGGAGGGGGACACCCCCGAGTGCGTCTCCACTTGTGAAGCTGGATACACTCCCAGCTACAAAGCAGACAAGCACTTCGGTGAGAGGGGCAGAAGGGATTAGAGCGTAGCATACTAACATTAGCTATGTGTCCTCTCATACTCTACATGTAGCTTATTAAATAATAAATGAAATATAAAAATGGAACTGTATTTTTGCTCTAACCCTTTGATTTTATTATTTATTTATTCCAGGAAAAATGTTTTTGTATTATATTTTGTTGTAATAATTGGATGTGATCCAATGTTCTCCTGATAAACAAAGTATGAAAAAAGGAAATTATTTCAGTTGTAAACAGACTTGGTTAAAACATGATTTATTATTTGAAATACGAAAGACCAGATTGCTACAAGTTAATTGATGTTTCGTTTTGGACAAATTAATTAAATCTGGAATAGAAAACTTTTGATGAACATCCCATGTGTACACACACACACACACACACACACACTCATCACAGGACTAACTCAAAGTGTGTTGCAGGTAAAACTTCTTACAGCGTGCCGTCAGATGAGGAGCAGATTCAGAGTGAGATAACCAAGAACGGCCCTGTAGAGGGAGCCTTTACCGTCTATGAAGACTTCCCGCTGTACAAGACTGGTAAGATGATGGTCACCAGTAACGGTTATAAGCAGTACAAACACTTAAGAACTGAGTGTTTGTAACACAGGGTAATACTGAAGGCAGATTTTGCTCAGTGATTCTGTAAAATGTTGTTTCTGACGCATTTGAACTCACACTCTTGCTGACCCTCCGCTGTGTGTTGTTTCTTGGCTATTTGTGTTCCGTCTCCAGGTGTGTATCAGCATGTGTCCGGCTCTGCTTTGGGAGGCCACGCCATCAAGATGCTGGGCTGGGGAGAGGAGGGCGGCGTCCCCTACTGGCTCTGCGCCAACTCCTGGAACACTGACTGGGGAGATAATGGTGCGAAAGATGCATGTTTTATTTTGACTTGTTTTGTTTTAATCTAGGTTGGTCATTATCCTAAAACAATGTTCTCATCTCCTCTTATCTTCCTTCTGTGGACAATAAAGTAAAAATATATAGTAAATCAATTTCATTACTATGTAGAACTTTTTGAACTGAATGTACCTACCTCTTGTGTATGAGACACAAAAGCATATATCATATAGTGTCGCACTACTACTATTTTCTACTTACAAACATGGCATTTCTGGTGTTTAGCAAAACCAATTATTTTTCAATTTGTGTAAACTGACCACTGCTGTGTTTCTGTTTTTAGGGTTCTTCAAGATCCTGCGTGGATCTGATCACTGTGGTATTGAGTCTGAGGTTGTGGCTGGGATTCCCAAGTAAATACTGAGGTGAGACAACAAAAATCGACATGGATGAATAAAAATGTATTCTATTTATATAGCTCTTTTCCCAAGTGGCTTCAGATATTGGCTTTGAACAAAGAAAAAGATCTCTCTGTTGCAACCTCCTTAATTCTAAACAGTGGAGCATTGATTTGTATTGTTGCATGAACCTCAAATATCTTAGTTGATTGTTGACTGTTTACCAACCCTTTTGCTCCTATGAAAAGTTGTTGTGGTTATGAAATCCTACACAAAAGTTGAATAGCTTCTGTGGCTTGACGTCTGTGCCTTTTTTGACTCTGCGTTTTTTCTCTTGCAGGTTTTTGGCTGCCGTTTCCAAATACTCATGATCACTAAAGAGGAGACGCTGAACTCTCCTCAAATGTAACTTGTCTCACAGCTTTTAGTCCTTTCTTTTAGATAAAGCCAACTGATCACCAGGCACCATCACCTCATTTAGGTGAAATAGCAGGAGTATGTGCCTGAGCACAAACTAGCATTCTTGAATTGAAGTTTTTTTATGTGACAGAGTCGTTGTTTTACAGCAAGTTAAATCAAAGATAATGTGCATTTAATTTAATCTCAGGTGATTTGGAGCAAACTGTCACTGTTTTTAGAATATGTTTTTGTTCCCTTGTGGACACATTTTCTTATCTGACACTGGTGGAAAGTGCGGGGCATCTTCAACTATTCAGCCAATGATTGAAAGAAATTACAATACCCTGCCTTAACACAGCAAAGAAAGGTCAGTTCGATATGAATGTGTCTAATTTGTAATGGTCACAGCTTTCAAACTTTGATATTTGTATTCAATATAATTTCTCAATGCCACTCCATAATGTTAGGATGAACTCCTTGTGATGCCTGTTAGTGTTTTTACATATTAAGCATTGGTGGACAAATTGGCTTTTTTAAATGGGGTTGATAATGGGATGTTTTTATTGTCCGCCAATTGGATCTAAAATATTTGCGCCCAACTGTATGTTCTGAAATAAATGAATATGTGTTTCCCCAATATGTGTTACTCTTTAATATGCTTGCTGGCTTTCTTAAATCAATTTGTTTTTTTATCTGAATTATTTGCACCTGTGATGGGCATTAAATCACCAAGAAAGTGTGGGTCAAGCAGTGATCTATAATGTCATATATCAGTCCAAACTATCCTGATGGTTGATCAAAAAAGTATGTTTTTCCTGCATCTAAAAATGCACTTTTGTTCAATCTTATTAGTAACTTAAACATCTTTTAAAGTCATACACATGTTTTACCCTGCAAATCATTTTCTCAACAAGTTTAAAGATGATATACATTTAACTTTTTGCACTGCTCTACATTAAACCTGCCTCATCTTGTCTGGCATTGTAAATATTTCCTATAATGGCTGAATGGTTACATTGTACATGGACTGTGCGTTGTAATAAACATGTTATTTGTTGAGAACATGTACAGTTGAATGGGACACAGATAGGATGATGTGGATACATTCTATGTAAATTTTAAGTTTACAAGCCAAAACCGCCCTTTTAAAAAAAACTTTAGAATCTATTTTACACACATGAACTGTACAAGTTATTACATTTTTGGGGAAAAGAAAGGACATTTGGGGCCTGCTAAGCATTTAAATTAAACATTGGTGATGCGCATGAAACATTCCTCTATGTATTTACTTGTTATATTCTATTTAGGTGTTTATTTTTGCAGGTTTTCGTCCTGAGGTTGCCCCTCTGACATCTGATTTCCAGCCAATTTGTATGTGTGAAAGTTGCCCTCACTTCCGCCTTGCTGTCAGCGAAAACAAACACTCCCCCTTCATAGTACAATAAGTGTTGTTTGTTTTATATACAGGCGTATTCCCTTAACAAAACCGAAATCGGTACGTCAGTAAACAGAACACAAAAAATAAGCTTTCTTTACAAAAATATCATAGTTTTTTACAGATACTGAATCACAGTTCAAGTGGCGACGTTTTAAATCAATAACAGAAATGAAGGATTCTGCTCAGTCTCCGCCCAGTTAGGTCCCACCTGGGACACTCCGGCGAGTAAAACAAACGAACTCAACGCACGGCTTGTTATTTAACCGGCGGTTTGAGCAACCGGATCCAGTAAAACAGCGAGCGATGGAGAGAGAAGGAAGGTCTTCGTGGATGAAATATGGGCCTGTTGTGTCCCTGTTTGTGGTTCTTTTGTCCTTCTGGTTCCGGTCACCCCAGAATGAAGTACTGGGTGACCGCCTGGACACCGTCCTGTCCTCTCTTCTCCGGGCTGAAGGAAAAGTCGGGGTGAACAACGTGGCCCGACCTAAAGTTGCAGTGGGTAAGTGCAGGTGCTGTTAGCTAACGCTGCCTAGCCTCACATCAATTAGAGTCTAAATACGGAGTCTTTGAGCTAATAATCATTGATGTAATTAATAGCATGCACAAGAGCTCGTATTGACTGGTTATGCTCCAGATTAAATAACGAAACATGAATTGCTCTGTAACACAGCAGAACAAAACACATATCATTCTAACCATGTATACCAGAGGTGGAAGAAGTAAGTAGATGTTGTACTTAAGTAAAAGTACAAATACCAGAGTGTAGGAATACTGTATTACAAATAAATGTCCTGCTATCAAAATTGTTCTTAAGTACACTACTTGAGTAAATGTACTTAGTTACTTTAGACCACTGACTGACACAAGGGTAAACATTAGCTAAAGGGGTCATTCCTAGGTTTCCAGGGTCCTTATTACGTAAAAGATTTTAAATTATGGGAATGGTTGAAAGGGAAATTGAAGTTTCCAATGCACTTTGAACCACTTAAGCCACTGTGGAGATGTCAACGTCTAGAGGCAACACATTTGTTATTAAGAAGTACAAGATCAGTGGGCTCTAAAGAGCTATGGTTTGGGTGATTTTCACACATTAACCCAAACTTGCTTGGATATTTGACCAAGGCAATTTAAAACAATTCTGAAAACATAAAACAATTTGAAAGGTCTCCTAAATGTGTAAAGGATATTGAGCTGGGGGGCATAGGACCCTGGGAACATGTTTACACTATGAAGTTAACCTAGCTACACATTTCCTTTTTTCTGTTAATATCTGGAGGTTTGTCAGCAAATGAATGACTTAGGGAAAATCAATTAGATCTTAGCTAATGTTGTATATTGAGTGTAGTTTGGACAAATAGGGAGGTTACAGAGGGTCAACCATGAATGATTAGCACTTTTAAACATCAGTTCAGAGATCCTCCATCCACCACCAGGAACATTGCTGGAATTCTTCACCTGACAAGCTGCTTAAGATAGTTTACAGCAAACAACATTATTTGCATGCTGGCCCGTCTTTCACTATCCCGATCTAATCCTAAAATCTTGTCCTTTGAGCCTTTTTACGACCACACAACAGAAGTGATCCCCATATCAGTCCAACCTTTACCCAGTTCAACATGCTTAGTCACGCAGTCATCGCTTACATTGTTATTATTCAGATTGAATATATAAGGCATAACAAGTTTCATCTCATTATAATGTTTCTTATATTAGGTGCCTCACAAATACTGGCCTGTTGACTTTCAAACAAAAATAACAGTAAATATGTAATTTGTGCTGATCTTATGACCTAATAATATGCACACAAACAAGAAGACCTTTCTTGTTTATATTATGGAAAGCAAGTTATCTAAAGAGAAAAGCAGATGGTTAGGTAAGTGCATTGAAAAGCAAAGCAAACAAAGCAGCAGGAAGTTAAGCTAATGTCAGACTAATTTCAATATTTAAAACCTATTCAAATGTTAAATAACATTGTTCCAAGCTGTGGGGGCAGCATATTTAAAAGCTGTTTACCCAGTTTAGTTCTCACTGTAGGAACCAGCATCTGAATACAATCTGTGAAGGATCTTCTGGAGATGAATGGTTTTGTCAATGGCACGTCAGAGACTAGTGAAACATGTCCATCCCTCTAAGTCCATGGAGGTTTCTTTAACTGTCTTGTTTTATCAGTCCAAAACCCAAAGGTATTAATTAAAGCTATTTATTCCATTTAGACGTTTAATATGATATAAACGAGCAAAGAAAGAAACATACTTTTTGTTAAGAGTCTGAAAACAATATTTTGTGCCATTTTTGCATGAATTATAAATACTAATCATTTATCAAAATAGTTTTTCTTTATTATTTTTTTCAATTTCCTTTACCGATAAGTCAAATGATACTTGAAGATTTGATGTTGTAAAGACAGTGTAGGTCAAATCTTTATCTTCTTCATTTTGACCCTAGATTCTGGGTAAATGTTTTGATCAAACATTTATCTCTTTGACTTTCTTTTCCTCCCCCTCTCCCCCCCCCCCCCCCCACAGGTTTGGAGGCTGTGTGGACCTGATAGTGGACGGGGTTTCGTTGCTGAATAAGATCGGCCTCGCTCACACAGACCAGCCCCTGCACCACGACCTCATAGAAAATGAAGTGCAGCTGGCTCAGAGCTTCGCCTACTTCTTTGCACCGGGAGCTGCCGCAGAGTGAGTACGACATTTCCATCATTCTTGATGAATTTAAGTCTGTTTGTGACAACAGCCAAATATACATAAAACATCCGTTAGCAAACTCTCACACTCCAAGGCTCATTTTTCAAGTTGTACTTTAAGCTCACTGTTTTCCAAACGCATGCACTTTTGCTAAAACTTGACTAATTAATACATTCTAATTGAATAAGAGGGATGGGGAACATGAAGTAGATGGAAGCTTTGTCAGGAGTAAGACAAGTCAAGAGTAGATTTAAAAGAAAACAGTTTCTTTGTTGCGGTGCATACCTCAGGCTGCCGTGCCTCAGACGCCTCAGGCTGCCTAGCTCACATGATCTTTCACAAACACTATGCGATTTCACCTTGAATGGGAGAGGGTTTATTTGCACATACTATATTACATAGAATGTTTACATGTCATTATCCAAAGTGACTTACATACATACATACTCAGTACTGTGGGCAATCCCCACAGGAGCAATTTGGGGTGAAGTGTCTTGCCCAGGGACACAACGACATGCTGACTGCAGTGGGGTTTGAACCTGTGACCCCCTGATTCAAAGTCCAGCACTCTATCCACCGCCCTGTACATATAAATAAGTACAATCAAACACGCTATGTTTTTCTTATAAAATAGACATACTAGATTCACCTTCAGTGCTTATGAATTGTTCTGTTGCTTTTGATGTTTATTAGCCACTAAAGTGTTACATGCCGTTGGACTTAATTCCCCTCCCTTCTCCTGTTTTGGCCGAGCCGCCTGTGAGCCTTGTTCATTGTCTGGAAATAACACCTAAAGCCAACATGCTTACAAAATCGTGTGTGTGTGTGTGTGTGTGTGTGTGTGTGTGTGTGTGTGTGTGTGTGTGTGTGTGTGTGTGTGTGTGTGTGTGTGTGTGTGTGTAAGTGATTTCTCTTGCTTCATTCCTGCCTGGTTTCTTGTGGATTTAGGGATTGTAAAGACTATAATTTGGAGGCACTTCCGCCAAAAAAAGAAACTTGATCTGTGCAAGGAAGAAATTATTGGGTCCCTCTGCCAAATGTCGAGAGGGCCAAACCACATGTGCGTTTTATTTTCTGTGCCTAGCTTTTACTTCTGTTTCTCTTCTCTCCGTCATTGCCACGAGTACTGCAGATTATTTCACATTTTCAAATGAGTTGTATGTCTTCAGAAAGAGAAATATTTTTAGGAGTACAGATAAGCATGAATAAACAAGTTAGAAATATCTACAGGTTGAACCAGATTATTGTTGTTTGTGTACCATGAGGCTCCATGAACACGACTCCTGCTTCTTTTGTTTTCCATGTGATGGCTTCACTCAGAATGACTCGGCAGAAATATTTCAGCTATTACTACAAGGGTGGCACATTGCTTACGTAGTGTCAGGTGTCTCATAGCAACAAGGGGAGCCACTTCCTGTACTAAACACAGTCAAGTATTGAAGAGGATTTTAAGTTGTCTGTTTTCTTTTTCTGAGTATACATTGGTTTTCCAACAACTTAACTTGTTCACAGATTTTCAGATTCAGGTTTTCTGCAACAGACCTGGCAAACAGGTTTCTCAGGTTTCATTTCTTGGACCAAGCCACATTTATTTAAACGGCATATTTCAAAAGCCTGTGACCTTATCATTGTCTTATCTACACCGTAGCTATGTACACATGACAATAAAAGCCTTGAAACTTGAATTCACAATGCTTTACAAATGAATAAAATAACTACGACACGATAAGAAAAAGATGAAGTTTTGAGAGGACATTGTGTTGGTTCTTTCAAGTTTCAACATTGTTTAACTTCTTTCTGTCTTGCAGGCGTTTTGTGCTAAATGACACCTTCTTCAGCGAGCTGGTGGAAGCGTCTCGTGACCTACCCGGCAACAGATGGGCAATAGGCGGCAATGCCCCGGTGATGGCTGGCCGCATGGCAGCCGAGGGATGTGATTTATTGCTAGGAGGGAGTTTCAGCCCCGAATTCATTGATGTCCTGTCTGAACACATTACAGGTACAAACACACACACGCATACAGGACACTTCTGTGCCTTCAGTGTACTAAACCGACCCGTTCTCCTTCACTTCCTGTTCTGAATCCCTCTGTGTTCCCAGTGGCAGGGAACATAGTTGAGGAGCCAGACATTCATCTGATCCTGGAGTATCCGTCTGGTGCTAGCTGGGGTCAATACACGTCGCGTAGAGCCAACAGGTATGTGTTAGTGGAGCGTTCGGTACACACTTTGAGAAGCTGCAGGGAACTGTATATGTGACAGTATTTAAACCAGAGGCACATTTTCAATCATGCACAGGAGACTGAATCTGATAGATGTTGTCAGTATCAGAACCTGTGTGTGTGTTAGATGCATGCATATTAATGTAACCCTCTGCAGTATTTGAAGCTCACTGTTTTCCCCTCTGTAGATATATCGTCCACAGCGATGACCATAACCCCTACTTGGACTCCATGGCTGCTTTTGCAGAGAAACTCAAAGGCTTTGACCCAGATCTGCTGGTGGTGGGTGGGCTGCAAATGATGGATAACTTCCCCTTCCAGTCAGGTAACAGGAATTTGGTGTGATGATATAGGATTTAGATTTTCAGAATAATTTGATTGTGGTCAGTTTTCAAACCAGCATCATTGTAAATGTCTTCACATGAGTTACTTGAAAACAATCTCCAGCTAAAAAAGTGAAAAATACAGTCTAATAAAAAAAAAGAATACAGGGATGATGATGTAAGAAAGAATAGAATCTCACAATGTTGCTTCTAAGTTCATCAAATCCATTAATTACTATCCTTACTTTGCTTTATGACTTATGTTTACTTAATTTAAGAATGTTTCGTTTTGTTTTGTTATGTCTGTGATACAAGAGAAATAGGCGTTCATTTTTATTAAACTTTCTTCCTTTTCCCTTCTTTTATTTCTCGATTCCAGGTGAGCGCGAGGCTCTCCTCTCCCGCCTCGCCGACCTCCTCTCCTCCTCCTCTCCTACGATTGGAGTCCATTTTGAGATGGCCAGTTTTGTAGAAGAGGGTATAATGGAGGAACTTTTTCACTACGTCATTCCCCATGTATGTATAACTGCTGGTTAAACTTTTCAAATCAACACATTACTTAACATTGAAGGCTACTCGAACAATTACACAAACACAGAGTCGAAAAAGGAAATAAGGGAAATAATAAAAAGGTGTTTTGACAAATATTTCCAGGTAGTTCGAGACTGGATTTGCTTAGTCAAATGTATTGAATACATTTCTAAACAAAATGTGCCCCCCTGCATTTGTATAGTTCTTCTCTTCTTTTCTTTAATCTGTTTTGTATGATTATTTTAGCTCCCTATTTTCTTGCTGTATTAAAAACACATTTAGTAAAGAGAAGTTGAAAGTTGAAGGCAGCATAGGAAGATGCCAGCTCAGTTAAAGGCTGACCAGTATCTAACTCGTCACTCTGTGTTCCCAGGCCGACTCTTTAGGCATGAATGAACAGGAGCTCCCCAACCTGCTCAGCCTGCTGAAAGGCTCCAACATCACGGTGTTGTCAGACCCTAACCCTCGTGTAGCCACCGTCCTCGACCAGATGAGGGAGGTGTACCGCCTCGTGAACCTCCGCTCAAAGGAAGACAGCGACACGAGCAGCGCCAAAGCGAAGCCGCTGACTCGGCTCCACGTCCACACGCTCGCCTTTCAGGCCATGATCGTGACCCACGGCTCCAAGTGGAAGAACACCATGTCGGCCACCGCCAAGGCGTCTCTCACGGCTAACCGCCACGTCTGCGGCTCCGATGACATCGACCCCAGCAAGGCCCGGCTCATCATGGACGACTCGTTCTCTGTGAGCCAGCGGGAGGGCAGCGTGCGGATCCCTCTGCAGGAGAGCCGGCCCGTCAGCTGCTGGGACGAGGACGACTACGAGATCTGCGTGGCGCCGGTGCTCGTGTGCACCGAGGTTTACCAAACTGCAGGAGGAGGAGACAACATCTCAGCCGCCGGCCTGGTGCTGCAGATCTAGAGAAGGACACCGTGTGCTTTATCTGTGTGTAGTGCTCTGTGAGCCTGGACACTTGATCTAGGTGTGATACAAAGTACCCAGCGAACATGGGTACTGATTGTAAAATGTTTCAGGCTAATGCTGTCGCCCTGGCAGCTCCTGGTGGACCAATAGGAAAAGTGAATATCAGTTAAAGAAGTCACATGATGGGTTCAGTGGTTATTACTCAGGTATGATCACCTGATTTCAAATGTATGAGCCTGGTTGTTAGGGGGATGCAGATAAAAACAGGTGAAGTCAAACATTACAGTTTAGTAAATTGACTGATCCAAACCAGACTATCTGCAGTTAATTCTCAGTTAGGTGTGTGTGAGTTTACATTAGGTTGGAGGGCACTATCGCTAGTTTCGTGTTTCTTTTATTAACGTTGGGTACATATATTAATATTTGTACACTGTCTTTGCCTGAGTGCAAAGCCCTTTGGCATCCAGATTATTTGTTACAACTAAAACTTTAAAAGTCACACTGCCCTGCTTTGTCCTTTTTATAATGCAGCACATCCAACGTCATCGCTGCCCATCATCTGACTCCTGTCCTACTCTACTTCCCAAAGGCCTTACAAAACTAGAACTTCAGTCTGGATGAGATAAGGAGTGATGAGGTTTTGGTTCAGTCCATAAAAAAACAAGTTTTGTTTAGGATTGGAGCTGAGAAAGCTACAAACTTAAACTTAGCTCTTTTTCTTGTGTTATTGAAACGTGTGACTTCACTATGCAACAGACTTATCCAGAGTTGGGTAAATCTCCTGTTTCTTGAAGGCACTTTTTTCAGATGTCTCCTCCTTAAAATCTATATTTCCAACCTGTAAACGGGGCTTTGACTGCCCCTGCCTTGCAGCATACGCAGTTTCAAAATAAGGCTGAAAAGTGAGCTTCCTTTTCTAAAGGGGAATGTCGTGAAAAACACTATCAGTGCATTTGGGTATCTTGAGTTTTGAGAGTTTTTGTGTCCTTCCTACATCAGAACACAAAGACTCAACAAGCCCTTTATATGTGGCTCCACTCCTTACACTGAAACAGGCTCATTAGAATAAACCTGCCCTAATGTATACCATAACGCATGTAAAGATGCTCTATTGGAAACGTAAAGTCCAAGTGTGAAACTCGGCTTAATATGTCCCCTTCAAAGGTCACATCCCAACCCTTTTAATGAGAGCCTCCTCCCTCTCCTATCTTAGGATTTGAAATAAGAAAGCTAGAGAGGTGATCACCTCCTGTTCTTCCCAATATATGTGAATACTCGTGTGGGTGTGTTTGATTTGTTGTTGATTGTGATTCTTATGTTGCAGTACTAATGCAAAAACTAGACTACTTTTGGTAGCTGGATATGATGTCAAAGACCTCCTTTCTACCTCCATGCTATTTATGTTTCTCCACTTTGACAAACTTTTCTATCTTTAATTTATCTTCTTGTGTTTATTTATGTTTTTAAGGACCAAATAATCAGTGTGGACTATCCCTGATAACATTACTGCTAAAGAGGCAGCACTGGTAGACACTTCTCATGTTCTCATATTATAATGCTGCATACAGTGACACAGTCTCCTCTCTAGTGGTTGTCGTTTTTTATCGTAAAGTCGATCTCAAGCTATAGTGTAACTCACCATTAATCCCCTTTATCCCCATTGGTCTAAATAGAAGTGGCCCCTGTCTCTAATTGGCCTGAAACGTACACAGAGTAGAAATCCCTTTCCTTTGAAACCATATCTGACTGAAATGGGAATAACTGTTCACACTGTATCCATATAAAACATTCCTCCACAGACCAAGCTTCAATAAGTATCTTCACAAGTGGAATATTTTCTTTCCAACATGCTCCCCTTTTCACTGAGGAACACGCATATTCATGTTGCAGTGCAACGATTAGGAGCTAAAGAAACCAGTCCACGTGTTTCCTCTGTATGTCAGCACTGTACTCGTGAATGCTGTTTTATTTATGCTAAACGGTAAATCAGCCTTATTCTGTTTGACTTTTGGTGTTTAGTGATAAGGGAATGTGTAATACGGACTGTTTCTATACCGGCATGCTTATGTTTCATTTCCTTTGTCTTATGTTTCATTTCCTTTGTCTTATGTTTCATTTCCTTTGTCTTGATTGGTTTGAAGATGAGTAATGGGTCACGTTTTTACTGTGAAATGAATTTCTTTGAAGCAGAACTTCAGCATGTATTCATGTTCAGATAAACTGCTTGTGTTTGCTAACATATCATATCTTAGCTTTAGATGCGTCCTGTCATCCAAAGCTGTGTGTAAAGTTTTAATGCATGTTAACTATTCAATGCAGAACCACTTAAGATAAAACGCTGATAAAGCACTCGTTGCTTTGTTATTCTTTCATACCTGGGCTCATGTTTCACGTCCATCTTGGCTCAAACTGCAGTTTAAAATAATACTGTGGACAAGCTATCACTTGATTTGTAATTTATTTATTTTTAAACTCGAGGAATAGGATTTACAGTAAGTGGGATCGTCACGTCATGGCTTCTTCGTCTCTCTTAACACTCCAACATTAAGCACATTTCATGTTTCATGTTGTCCATTGGCTGCACATGCTATCTGAACATCTTGTTGAAGGAATAGATGACCTTCTCCTTATCATACCACCACTGGGCCTAGATGTAATCAGCTAATAAGGAATCTGCAGCTTGAGAAGGGTTTGGAAAAACACCATTGTTTTTATTAGATGTCGTTTGACAGTTTGAAGGTCTCCTTGACTATTTAAAATGATTCTTACAGATGTGAAAAACATAATGTCTAAACTGCCTTTACTGCAGAGTATATACTTAAGAACTCACTTAGCAGCTTCAGGCACATCAGAGCACAAGCTTTAAAAGAAGTGGCATACATTATTTAAAGAAGTCTGATGTTTGATTTGGAAAAACAGATGAATGATTAATAAGTGTACCGTGGTCGTCTTTGCAGATTTGAACACACAACTCAACTGTGAAATACAGCCTCATATCAAATATAAAAGCAATTTCAAGACTTGTTCAAGTGACAGGTCAGTCTTTTGGTTTTAAACAACTTCCCGATTGTGGAATCAGACTTAAAGAATATATGATGGTGCCAATCTCCCTGGAAAACGTTCGACCTCACTATTTCCCTAAGGTTACACGTAAAGACTGAGGATTGTGGAGCTGAGCTCACAGAGATGTGTTAGGACTTGTTTGATTCACCTGGCTGCAGAAAAACGAGCCAGATGTGCGATTTCCCTCATAAATTGAAATGTCATTTGGTAGGCTATATACCATTTTACAACAAAAACTAAATGTGTCAGTTAATTTTCCTATAAAAAGACCTTATCTTGTTCTTACAAGTTCAACACATCTTAGTAACTGGAGACAGAATTTAAAAAGCAGACGATAAATGAAATGTTTGCTTTATTTTTTAATCTGTATGAATTCATAAATGGTCAAAAAGAAAACATTTGAACAAGTTGGAAACCCTTTCATACTGAAAACATGTCAAGTTTTCAGATAGACTTTGCATTGCAGCTAATAACTAATGTCATTTTAATGGGGACTTTCTAACTTCCCAACCTTTACTGATTTGATGGTTTCCAACTCCTTCCGGCACATTAAATCATCAAAAGTAAACGCTTACTAGATTAAGTGCATAAAAAGAAAATGGAGACTTGACTGATACTGCATAATATGGTGCTTTTCTCCATCAAAATAGCCTAATTTTATTCAGTAAATAAACTAATCATTGCGAAATTCCCAAGGAAGAGCGGATTTAATTTCATGGCACATCAGTCTTAGCATATTGCCAAATGGTAGTAAAAGAGAGCAGTGTAACTAAATAACAGTCCTGGTGGCTCAGTCATAAGGCCAATCAGTGTGAACATGAACAAACTGTTCCTCTAAAGACAAACACATTAACATTAAAACATGCTCCTTCTTTCAGGTATGATAGAAAATGCTTCATAAATACAAGTGAATAAAACAAAATTCACATCTTGTGCTTTCCAAATTATTTTAAAAAAAGATGACCAACTGTTTCACTTGCATGTAGAATAAAATAATATGTATAAGTACTTTGCCTAATAGGGATGGCTTCTGTTTTACTAATATAAATAATACTGCTTTTTTTAAATGTAGTCATTTTCTCCCTTTTCCAGCTTTTTTTAAGTCATTGTTACTCGCTGTAGAAAACAAATGCAGTGAGAGGGAACTTTTCAATACATTCCTCGTTGAAGAGATTTCAGATTCTGATCTCCTCATTAATCAGCCATCTACGTGTAAATCCTCAATTGAATTAGAAAGTGTAATCGAGGATTGTAATCGAGGTAAAGATCATTTGTAGGGATACAGATTCAGAAGTCCTCTCAGCGGAATTTTGGTATTTTTTCAACAGAAATCTTGGGGCCCACAGTTTGTGTGTTCACATCTCTGGTTGTCCCTGATGAACGGGGACTTTGTGGTCCTGCCCATGTTCTGCAGCTGGGGCTTCTGGGATTTGTTGTCCTTGCTGTTTTTCCACTTGATTTATGAGCTCCTCTTCTTCTGTCTTTACTTCCTGTTGAGGTTTGTCTTCATCTTGAAGCTGCACCTCCTGCTGAGCCTCCTCCCTCTGTTCTGCTCCTCCTGCCTCGTCAGTCCCGTGGTCTGACAGCTTCTCCTCGGCTGCTTTGTTGTTGCTGGAGTCCTGTGGTGGAAATGTGAGTTTAATTATACTGTGAATGTTTCAAAACATGTATCAAACAAGCGTGTGATCTTTAAAGTCTATGAGTTAATTATAATAAAAACCTGAGACAATATTCAAAAAGCTGAAAAAAGCACTTTTTGCTTTATTTGCATGGCAAATAACTAACATTATAAAATTAGTTGGAAATTGTTTGTCTATGGATTAAATAATCGACTACTCCACTGATCAAGGCAGCTGTAATTTATTTGTTAATTTCCGGAAAAACTGAAAAAATATAACCTTAAATCATAAAAATATATTTTCATTATACTCCCTTAGTTACAATTAAGTTTATTGAATTTTGTCCACTTAAGTACTTGCTCTCTTGCCTTGTCAGTGTCTTGGAGGCAATGATCATGACGTTGCACGAGAAACAAGTGTGTGACTGTGCAGTACCTGTGTGTGAGGTAATGAAGGAGACAGCAGCTCCGACGGGGCCAACAGGCCGTCCTGGTTTAGATCGTGACTCTGGAGTAAAAAGTCTACCATAGACACCACCTGTACTCACACACACACACACACACACACACACACACACACACACACACACACACACACACACACACACACAGTACGCACACAGGAAAGAATGCAAAACACACACACACACACACACACACATACACACACACACACACACACACACAGGTCAGATAAACAGGCTCAAAAGTATGAAAGTGGTTTATGTACAAGTAGACAGGCTCTCCTCCTCACCAGCACATTGGTCTTTGCTCCAGGTGTATGATGGGAGTTGTAGTCTGAGAGTAGTTTCATCATCTCCAAGCCATCCAGGAGCTCACTGCGGTCGAAGTCATAAAGCCCAAACAGGAAGAAAACCTCTGAGACAAAGCAGGAGAGAACTGACTGTTATTACCAAACACACACGTGATATCCTCTGCAGTTATAACACTCAAACTGTATATACACAAACACAACTACAATAACCTTTATATGGTGGTTTTAGACACTTTGTAATCTCTGCTCATCATATCATTTTTTTTAGATTAATCTAATAATCATTTCTTTAAAGTCTTGTGTCACTCAAGTCACTCCGAACCCCAAAGATACTCTATTTAATATCATAAAAGAGAAGAATCAGGAAATCTCCATATTTTCAAAAGTATGTTCTGACATTTTTGCATGAAAAACAACTAATTGATTTTAAAAACAGTTGTCAGTTATCTTCAGTCGATTTAATATTGCAGCTCTACCCGATAGATTTTCAGTTTTATTATAAAAACGTATTTATATGTGGTAATGATGATGAGCGTTACACACAATGTGGGATTGTCTACCTTGCTCCCAGGTGCTTATTTCGGGTCCTCCTTGGCTGTCCTTCAGACTGGATTGAATGTAACTTTGCAGCAATCTGTGCAAAGAGTGTCAATCAGTCAATTATTAAGAGACAAACTTTAACACTGAGGGGACAGATTGGTTCAACCCTAACTCTTTGCAGGTGAGATCACAATATTATTGTTATTTCTGTTGTTGTTGTTATAATGTTTTAACGTGTTCCTATTGAGTCTTTCAGACTTTGTTTGTTTATATGGAAAAGAAGAGCGGCAATACCATGTTTAGTAAAAATTATGCTCACAGTAGAAACATTTTAAACAACACATATGCAGCAACTGTCCCAGTCGAAGAGGGCAGAATGTGTGGGTACTGGTTGTAGAATAAGTCGTAAACACACTGCCTAAGTACCTAATACAAACCCACTTAAAAGGAAATGGAACTATCTCTTTAAGCTAACACGATGGTAGAGTAATATACATATTATTATTATTTTTATTATTTTTAGCAAGGAGAAAGAAGCTGCAGCCACATCGTCACAAACAACGTTCTCTTCGAGATACAAAATCCACAAAGTGGTTATCGTTCTCTTTGCTCCTCAATTAAATCAAGCCTGTGACTCCTTATTGGTCAGTACTCAGTTCAGACTACTGTACAGGGTAAGACAGTGTATTTGTAACGTATGTGACCTGTCCCCTACATTATCTCCATAAACAAAAAGTATTTCATAATGACAGCGTAAAGCACATGTGATCTTATCGGTTTATGGTGCAGGCCACATCATTAGCACAACACAGCAGCCGAAGTCCACAGAGTGACAAGACAGCAGCTACAGTCCACAACAGCTGACTGCAGGTTCAACACATTTGGATCAGTAGTCACACTAATGGAGCTTAGCCAAGTTCAACCAGGAAGACCGTCTTTAGTCATTCATTCACATACTCCCAGTTTACTACTCTCTCTCCTCTCAATCAGTGATCGGGGGCGTCACTCCCCAGCTAAATCACTTTGCCTCTATTCCCACAAGCCTATCATTGTGCATTGCTAAACCTTTAAATCTGCTCTCTCCCCTTCCTCACAGTTGTCATTTCAGGTGAGTGAACGCAGCCCTCCTCAACCCCTTCCACCTTCCTTTCTTCCAAATCCAGGGTCAAGCTTGAACCCCTCCTCTTCAGACCGACCTCCATCAATCCCTTCCCACCTTCACCACCACCAGTGTCTAGACCCCAGGGGGGGGGATTCATCGGGTCGGTTTTTCCCCTCCCGAATGATACTCCCGCACAACGGGGTCTAATCGCCAAACACCGTTACATGCATCTGTGTATTCCCGGCAATAAATATATATTGTTACGTCAAAAAAACGTCTCTCCTGATTGAACTATCAGCAACTGTTAATATATTTCAGCTGCGGGAGATATATTAAATCATCCTCTGATAAAGTTTTACTTTCAAGCTGCATTTTGAGTGACTTACTAAAGGAACGTTCTTCTTTCTACTTAGGGACGACATCAATCCCTACCTTTATAAGAAAGCACTTAATAGAGTTAATTAAAAAGTGTATCGTATGTGTGTGAAACATCATCATCTTGTTTCACTCACCTGCGGTCCTCTTCTCCAGAGCCAAAGGGATTGGCTAGCGCTGCTGAAGGGGGGCGAGCCTCGACTGCTTCCTCCCTGAAAGACAAACAAATAAAGATGCAAATAAATGTTTTCTGTTTCCCTTTGCTGGCATTAAAAACAGAAACATTCATTATTTGTCACGTCAAAGGTCTGCTTCAAATAACCAGCGTCATATATAAAGGTGTCCATTCTGATATTGCAACCCCCCCCATAGTGTGCAAATGTAAGTCTTTTGACCATAAAATAGTGACAAATTGAAAATGTAGACATGAAAATATATTGTACTTGAAAGACACAACATGTTCTGTTTTGGTGTGAAAAAAAAGGCAACATTTTGTAGTAAGAAGATGGAGTAACCTTTGTGTCGCAGGTTGACCCGGTGCAGCCTGGCTCAGGTGAGTGAGCAGCAGGAACAGAGACAGGACACACAGGGTCGTCCTGCCCAGGTGAGACTCCATGAACACACCTACAACACACAGCCAGGTTATAACCTCATCACATCTGCACAGAATACAGTCATAGGATACCATCAGGAATGTATCTGCTCAAAAGTCATAGATTTACTAAAAAACATGACCAGAATTAATTGATGGTTGGAAAAGAAACACTAAAATATACATCAGAAGTGATGGTTTCATGATGCTGTACAAAGTGGAATTTCCCCATGGCTAATGCTAATGGCTATGTGCCGAAATGCTTGTATACTCTTAATCTCATAGTCAATTGTGTTATTAGTTGTGTCAACTGTTCTATCTACATGTATCACCTACTGTACTCCCTACCAACAGAAACCACTCATTACATGAATGTTTAACTATGTTACAATCCTGCAGACTTTTCAAGACACATCTATTTTCAGCTCAGCACACTGTCTGTGAGTATGTCCTCGATGTGTCTACAGTGGGAGATGCAAAGGTAAATTATGGCTAGGGATGTGTAACCTTGCAACAAGAACAACAAGAACAACAAGAACAACAAGAACATCAAGAACAAGAACAAGAACAAGAATAAATAAATGTGTCATCTCTTACAGCTTATGAAGTATTCTCTATTTTGGACCACGAGTAAATTAAAAACCTTCCCAGCCAATTGACATGACCCTGTGTGACAAACCGTCTAACGTTGCTGCTTCTATGTGAAGTAGCAGTGATGCTAACAAAGCGAGGCTCACACTCCTCTCCCCTCACTGCAGCATTATCACAGCCTGAAGTGGAGAACAGTAACATAATGCACACTGAAGATCTCTTATAAACTGTTATTGTCTTCCTGCTTTGACGTTACAGCCCTGAATTAAATACAAAAGAAAAATAAAAGCTATGTGTGGCGTAAAAGAGTATCAGTGAAAGAGAGTACGCATAATAAAATGTAGCCTACATTACAGCTGAAGTAACATACGCGTATGGAAACCCTCATTTAGTGATGTTAATCATTCTGATAAACACAAGCTGTGCTACTTTAAATCTCTGTTCAGTCATTGAAAACTTACCTCTCTGCATAGTTGATGAACGGTAAAGCTTTAGTCCGGGCAGGTTAAAGGTTCACATCTGGAAACCTCTGCCCTGCACCGCCCTGCTCGCGCGCCTCCCGGTCTGCACTGCGCAAGTGTTTTGGTCAATGACAGGGGCCACGTGGAACAACAGTCGTGTCAGCGAGTGTGCGCAGGACCCTCTTTGTGCTCCTTTGTATCTTCAGTCTCCAGTATATTCAGCTCCTCTCCGGGGTTTCCGCTGCGCCACGTCCTCACCGACACAAAGATTCCGGTAGTGCGCGAGGAGCGTTTTAGAGTGCTCACAGCTGTGGTTCACATTCAGTCTGAGAGCTGTATTGCAGCTACAGAGGAGGAGAGCAACTGAGTGGGTTTATTATAGGACTGCAGGCTGCGTCTTAAGTACTGAGATAGGCAATTTATAATTTACTTTTTCTTTATTCTGCTACTTATTTTTGCACCACTACTGAGGCAAATAGGCCTATTGTTCACTATACTCCACAGCATACAGTATATGAGAAACTTTATTAGCTAATTAAAAATACAAAATGTAATCACATACAATACTAAAAATGATAACAACGATAATAATAAAATGATGATAATAATGACTCAAATAAAACTTGTGAAATTGTGAAATATATCGTATCATGTGAAATTAATAAAATATTTAAAATTCACAAACAGTTAAATTAAAATTGTTTAAAACGTATAGGCTTACGCAAAAATAAGAACTCCATATACTACTTTAAGAGAGAGCAAACAATGTAATATTGCAAAAACAAACGCCTAATTGGTAATCCAGTGTGTGCTGTGCCATGAAGTATAATTTTGCCTCTTTCTTTCACAGCTACAACTCAAAAAAAAAAAGCTATTCAGTATGCACTAACCGTTTTCTTCACACAGATTGTCCCTGTATACTCTGTATTGAATCCTGTGGGCTCTGTAATTATACATTGTAATAGCAGAACTACGAGATAGGTATCGTTAAATATATAAACACCCCTTATTTATTACTTTCTTTTGCGGACATTGTTATAATATTAAGATAACAAATGTATGGTGGTTGTGATTGGCTTTGGTTTAGATGTGCTCTTAATGTTAAATTTCTCCTTGATTTTCAGTTACACGATTGGGTATCAAAGTTACATAAGGTAATTTATCCCACTTAGAGTTTCTACACATTGTGTTAGTATTGATTTTGGTTTTATTTGGAATACTTTTATATTATATTTTTTGTTATTTGGAGTTTGTTGTATAATTATTGAATGTTTACTAAATACGTTGACATTGTTCTAATTATTATTATTTCCTTCTTTGGTTCTCTCTGTCTAAGTTAAAATGGCTAATCTTATTATGTATATATATACAAATTCTATACAGGCACCTCTTTCATCGACACACGAGGGCATTTATATGTTTTATTGTTCCACACAGCGATCACTATCTCACTACCTATTACTAAAAGTAATGAGTGGCTTTACTTTTATATATTGAGTCTTTAAATTTTTTATACTCGATCTGAGTGTTTATTTCTTACTAGTATATATATATATATACACACACCAAACACACACACATCACATATTATACTTATACCAGTTGTTTATACCTATGATACTAATTAGAATAGAAGGCTAAGCTAACATTCAACAGCAGATAGTGCAATGTAATGCTAAGCTTAGCCTAGCCTCAAACTCCTTAATACACAACTACACATGACCCACCACACAAGACACACCATCACATTCCAGTTCATACACACACACCAGCCCAGCATCACACCAGCAGCTCAGCATCGAGGCACACACATATCTAGGCACATTATCAATAGATTTCACATCGCTACACAGATCACCAGCCAGTCGAGGTTATTAGAAGCGGTAGGTAATGTATGCTGGAGTGACTTTTGGGAGCAGCAGAGCTTATTGTCATCTAGCAGCACACACGACAAACCAGGCACGGAGAGCACATCGGCCACAACCCACGCTCGATCTACTGTATTAATATTCAACAGTATAATTGTCATAACAGTGCATATATAGACACATACACATAAATTGCGTGCCTGAGATGGTATCCCCACCTAGGGCTCTCCGAGGTGTGTCGTCCTTGTAGATCAACACATCACTGATTGATGATGTTTGACCGACATTTACAGAACGCATCTCTCATATCATTGGTCCTCCAAAATGTAGTAGTATCTATTTATTAACGTTTACACATGAATAAACACATCGGTTAATATCTCTTCTAACGAATCTGAAACACGCTGGAGAGATACATCCGACAGATGGTCTCTGTTATACAAATATGGTATTATAGAGAGAAGCTCACTATCTGTAGGGTGCTTAAAACTAACCTCGATTAACATAAAAACTCAGATCATATGTGAGGTGATTAGGGATTGGGCAATGTGGCGAGAAAAAGTAATAAAACAGATAGACCGCCAGCTCCTCTCACATCACTCGGCATAACGTGATCTAGGAGACATCAGACCAGGAGATGGTGAGTGTGCAACTAGTTTGTCTAATGTATTGGATAATATTTGTACATATTAATCGATTGATTCCTCAAATAATGATCCGACTTTGACATGTGTTATATTAATAGATAGACTGTGGCAATACTCTCAAATACTTATACAACACTCTTCTATCATAGATGAAATAGTTTTAACCACGAGAGTCAAACAATACTCGTACACAGTCTCACCAAACCCTCGAGCATCCAGCACACACACAGATATCATCAACCACACTCACATCAGCTACATTACAACACCAGTATCTACAAGCGATACAACAACTACCATCCCTCTCCTGTAGTGAGACGTCTAGATGTTATAGTGTGCTGTGAAATAATGAACTGACAGTGCTCCAGCACTCAGTGAGTCACACATGGAGAAGATTGGTGTTTGTTTGGTGTGATTGTGTGACTTTGATCTGGTTCGATGGCGGTTATGAAGTGTGCTATTCTTTCCCACTCTACAGGTCTCAGATCTTATACAGGAAATGGACAAACATCTTCCCTCCTTGTACACAAATGTTTGTGCATGGTAGCGGCCGGTGTTCGTGAATGTCAGTTCTCCTACATCTTTTCATTGTATTGACATTCTAATTCTAGTTTTTGACAGACTTTATTAATTCTCATGTTGTTGTTGTTTTAATACAACACGCTTTAAACAGTTGATCTGATATTGTTCATATGGGTTTGGTCACTGGGGCATTCTACCGAATTAGCCACAAAGTGCGTTCCCTATTACGAACTAAAACCTAACAACAACAAGTGTGAGTATAGTTATGGTGTTTAAACCTCTTCAAAAACGTTGTTATTGCAGCCAATAGTACTTGCTAATTCTTTATGAATGTTTGCTTCATATTTTTAGCTAGGATCGTCATCTACCGGATACATTGGTTACGTAATTGGACATGGATTCCGTTTCGGTGTATGGGACAATACATTAGGAATTGTGTATTAGCAGTAAATCCCACAATTTGAAATAAATGTGTTTTAAAGTCCTGAAAATCAGTTGTGTTACTCTAAAGGTCTTCTTCATTATAATATGTTTACGGTATAATATTATATGTCTCTCGGATTATTATAATAAACATGTCTATTGAAAGTGTTTGCAAAATACCAAACAGATCATGTGCATTCTATGCCTCTGCCCTTCCTATTTTCAGCCTGTTTACATTAGAAGTGCTGATTCCTGGGTCAGTACTTCAAACATTCACTACTTCAAACATAATGCGCACATATTATTAGTTTAAGATTAAGGTCAATAATGTTGACGGGAAATATGATACACCTTCGAGAACAAATACTGTGGTCACTACCAAACCCTGGATGTTTGTGTAAAAAAGTAAGTTATTGAGTTATCAACTAAAATGTATATGATGACTGATTGGTTTGAATTGGTGAATCGTTCATTTCAACAATCATCAACTCTGCTGGATCATCAAATATGATCAGTATGTATGCATTTTACCAAAGAAGTTTACGAATTATGATGTTTTATGAATTGTATAAATTGAACTGAAATTTGGGATTAAAAATGCACTTGTTATTTATTTAGATTGTGAAAACCCTCAAGGAAATATTTGGTTAAAATTACTATTTAGATAGGGAAGGTAAAACAATCTTAACAGGTTAAATAATGCTTTTTACTACAGTGTATTTACTACTATGTTTCGGTAGGTGACCATTTTTGGTAGAGGGAAGACCATTCCAATACAGTCAGAAAATACGATATAAACATGTACCGACTTCTTTTACTAGATATGTGTAATT